GATCTGAAGTACCAGCCCCGGGCAGAGTGTTGATGAGCTGCTATGAAGCGCTGACTGCAGAGGAACGGGGGCAGGAGCCTCCAGGAGACGGACTGGGAGGGCTCCCGCCTGCGGTTCACAGGAAACAGCTCCCAGATCAAGATCAGATTCCAGCTCCCAGCAACCTGGAAAGTCCCTCATCCTTTCCAGACACACATGGCAACACTGCTTCTCCAGAGATGCCCATCCGACAGGCCCTGCGACTGTCCAGGGCTCCACTGAGGCTGACTGCGCTGCTCCAGCACCCAGGGCCCCCTGGAGGGAGGTGGCCCCGCGGGGGGGGGCATGTCTAGAACCCCCAAGACCCGGCTTAGGAGCAACTGGCCTGTTGTCATTAGACTTCAGTTTCAAAATCCCCAGTAAATGAGGCTCCTTCCACTACCTCACAGGGTGTTGAAAGGATCAGAGGAGACCACGCTGTGCAAGATGTTGAGTATCTAGCCCGGGACTTAACCCCTGTCACCACCGCCCCCAGGCTGGGGAGCGCTTCCTCGTCACCCACTGCTCTCTCCCTTGTGAAGGGGCCGGGCAGCCCCGCTGTGCTGGGTGGGCCCCCGCTCTGGGCTCAGGCAGCCTCACTCTGGGTCCGGGCAGCCCTGCTGTGCTGGGTGAGCCCAGGCGTGAGGCTGCAGGACTGGGAAGCCGGGTTCGAGGCCCAGCATGGAGGCAGTCTCCCCGTGGGAGCCCGGCAGGCCTGCTGTCTCCAAGCCCGGGCCCTCGTCCTGTGGGCCGGGGTAACGCTGGATCCGCAGCATTTCCTCAATGAGACAGAAAGGAGAGGGCACCAGGCTCAGGCAGGTCCTGACCAGCTGGGCTGGAGACGGATTTCCAGGCCTCGCGCTGTGACAGGTTCCTGGCTGTGGGTCACGGGCCCAAACGTTTGGAAACCACCAGCTGAGGTGGCCGGGTTCTGAGACTCCCTTCCTGGCACAGGGCAAGGAGGGGAAGGGGAGGGAGGGGGAAAGTGAATGCTGACAGCGTCTCCCGGGGACTTTTAGGACAGCAGCCGATTCTGGGAAGGAAACCTTTGGCATTTTCTGCCCCATCCCAAGCCCGTGTGCAAACTCCCCAGACAAAGGGTGCATTCGGGGCAAGGCAGCCCTCTAAGAACAGGACATCCTGGGCTCGGGCCCCAGTGACTCACTCTGGTTCAGAAATGGTGACAGCTCACCCTTTCTCCCGACGAGACGCGGGCTGTGGAGGTCCCTTCCGCTCTGGTGTTGCAACCAGAGGAAGAAGTCCCCGGGGAACAGCTGGGGGAGTGCCGGGGCCAAGGGCCCGGGGAGGCAGAGGACAAAACTGGGAGCAGGACACGGGGAGTTCCTGGGACACAGGGGAAATGCCTGCAAGTCAGACCGCAGGGACGGTGCGCGAGCGCCCCCACGTGGCCACCGGGGCACCCGACCTGCAACCACCTGTACCGCCAGCATCTCTAGAGCAGAGCTAAGATGCTGACCCAGAAAGGGCGGAGACTCCCGCCAGGCACTGGTTCTGTGCTGCCAGCGGAAGCAGAATTTTAACGGGAGCGCCCCTGGCTCAGGCGCCACCTCCCAGACTCCCATCGCGCACGGAAGCAATATTCCTTTAAACCCGTAGCCGTGAGGGAAGCCTGGACAGTCAAAAGTAGAGGAACGGATTTCGGGGTGCCCCTCCTCACCAAGGACGGCCCTTGCGCCACGCGGACACGTGCCTGTCTGCGGCGTGTCTGCCGCACAGTGAGGCCAGGACGCGGGGCTCAGTCACACGAAGCATCTTATTCCCTGACAGCCACAGCCAGGGGCGCGACTAGGTGCAAAGCTGGAATACAGACTGTCCCATCGCTGCTGTTTTAAAAAGCATTTCAGAGACACCCCTGGGGGTCTCAGGAGAACAGGCCCCCAAGCCCCGCTTCCCGAGAGCAGAGCACCCACCTACTCCTGAGGAGCCGCCGCCCTGTTCCCAAGCCTCCCACATGCAGTGGCGCCGTGGACGGCAGGAGGGACCGGCGGGCAGGGAGTCGCGGGCTGTGAGGCGGGTGCTGCAGCCCCGGCGCCACGGCCGCCCCAGCAAAAGGCCTGGCTCCTGTCTGGTCAGATCAGAGCGTCTGGATGGTGCATCGCTTGACGTCACAGCTCTCCCCGCAGCGAGCTGTCCCCATCAGAGAGATTGACTAGGTCTTTCCTGGTAGAACAGGGAGGACACTGGAGGTTCCCTGAGATGGAAAGGCCCTCGCAAGGACGGACCCCAGGATGGCCTGATGGTTATGCCCAGCGGGCAGGGAGGTCCCCCCATGCAAAGAGGTCATTACTGAGGAAGGGCCCTTAACGAGTCACGAGGTGTTTGGCACCGTTGTAGCACCCAGTATTGTGGCAGTGTTCTTGTCATCTTTCTGTCTACAATGGGAGGGTCTGGGGACAGTGAGGATACCAAGGAGGGATGGGAGGCCCCCCGAGTCGGGACGAGGAGGAAGGACCGGACACACGGAGCAGGAGGCAGCCCACAGGGGCCAGGACAGCAGCCGACGGCAGAGGCTCCGGAAGGAAACGGGAAGCAGGGCTGCACCGGCCGGGCTCCGGGCAATCCCAGCACCCACTGTGCCGGCTCCCCGCTCCCCGCTGCCCGCACCCTTCTCCCCGGGAGCCGTCCCAGGGTCCCCCTCCAGGACCCTCCTCGAAGGCTTCTTACGAGCCTCCATTTCTTCCTTGTTTCTGGGTCTGACCACATCTGGACAGGGACGGTCCAAGGGGTTGGGACGGGGCCTCTCCCGGGGCTGACCCTGAGGCATCCGATTCCAGAGAGCCAGGCGCCCGGGCAGGCGGCAGGACTCGGGGGAGGGGAGAGGACCGGGGACAGACAGCCTGGGAGTGAGCAGAGGGCGAGGCCCCATCACCCCAGAAACGCCTCGTAGTCCATGTACCACACCAGCTGGCCCGACACGGGCTGGACGCCCGAGATGGGCCACTTCTTGGGCTCGTGGCCGACGCGGCTCACCAGCAGGGTGATCTCGCGCTTCAGCCGGCCCATGACCAGGACCGCCACCCTCCTGGCGCGGTTGATGAGGGGCAGGCTGAGGCTCATGCGGCGGCGCGGCCCCGAGGGGC